AAAGGGTGGCTATACTAGGTGGTAATTAAAATTGGGGGTTAAATTTTCATAAATTTATTTAGTTTATTGAGTAATTTCGATTTAACTTTTATTTATCAAAACGATCAAAAGAAACGGATCGCTTGATTTGATGTAAAATGTGGTTTAATTTTTTTTTAAATGCACGATATGAAAAATAAATATGATTCGATGTTTCGTCCATATATGAAGAACGAACTTATTATTGTTTGTTTGCCAAGAAAAATGGAACTAGAAAATTACTGCGTATAAGCCTAACGATACAGAAAACGTGTAACAGAATTTTCCCGGATTGTGTCACCAATCAACGGCTATAACAATAGTGCTTTTTTTAGTAAATCCGATATATAGGACGTTTTTTACATATGTAGATAGATCAATTTAGCGCCATGTTAGTGGCGTAGCATCCATCGCAACCAATAAGGATGCTCAAATTTTTGATTAGCCACAATTTATATTTAATCTATAATAAGGCAGATAGGCTGTATTATTACGTATGTAACTTATTTTTACGCAGTTGATGCAGTAGATCTTAATAAGGGTTCATGCATTTAATTTAGATGATTTCATATATTAATTTAGTATTTGCAATAAATTAGGGTCTTTTTTAATTTTTTTTATAAAAGAGATGGCAAACTCGACGAATACCTACCTCAAAAATAATTTCCTAAATCCACACATAAGAAACAATGACCGATTATAATCAATTATTTCAGCCAGTCAAGGATCTATTCAGTCAAAATGCCGTTCAGACAGTTTTCATGGCATGGCTTCCAACGACACTTGCACCCTATCTTACAAAAAACATGTCAGTTGATATGTTTTTAATAAGTGCGTCGGCTACGATACTTACCGCGTTATTCTTATCATTCTCTGGAATATGTTGTAGTTTATATTCTGGATCCATACCCTGGTTGCAAAATACGATCACAGTTCAAGTTGAATATTACGAAACAGGAATTTACGGCGATCAATCAATATCAACATTATACGAGGCATTGTCTTGGTTAATTAGTAATCAAACTCAAAAACTGCGAAAAGGATTATTTATCGCACAGCCAAAAGCACGAGAATGGGATGAGATTGTTGAAGATGATTGTAAACCTCCGGATTTTAATATGTTACCTGAACGCAATCAAGATGTCAATGTCGAATACAAAAATCGCAAATTCAAGGTGTATTTTAGGATGCCAGAGGAAGACGAAAATAACAATAACAATAACAACAACAGCAGTAACAATCAAAATCCGGATGCAGTGAAACCAATGCCATCAATTTACTTGACCACAATTGAAGATAAATGCGCACAAGTCGATATCGTCTCAGATTTTATTAACGAGGTGACACGTGCTTATCTCGAAGACAAGAAAAAGAAAAAGACTCGTGGACGATACGAACGTGCTGATGGCTATTGGTATCGAATTCAAGCATTAAGTGCAAGCCGAGGTTTAGAAACGGTAGCGTTGGATGAGAATCATGAGAAATTATTATATAAGGAATTGAACACCTTTGTTACTGATAAAGATTTCTATGCTCGTATTGGAATGCCTTACCGTCGTGGAATCCTTTTATACGGAAAACCAGGAACCGGCAAAACAAGTCTTATCAATGCTATTTCGGCTCACCTTAATCGTGATCTTTACTTTATTAATTTGAAAAATGTTAAATTAGATAATGAATTGAGTTCTGCATTTAGTGGTGTTCCACCTAATCAAATTATTGTTTTAGAAGATGTTGACACAATGTCTAAAGTTATCCATAAACGAGCACGAAATTCAACATCAGTTATTTCAGACTCTGAAATTGGTCCGCTACCCGAAGATTCCTCGAGTAAAGCTGGAGACAAGACGAGTGGAACAACTGGTCCATCATATTCATCAACTTTCAGTCTCTCAACTTTTCTAAGTTGCCTTGACGGTCATATTTTATCCGAAGGAAACATCATCATCATGACTACAAACCACGTTGAGCAACTTGATCCGGCAGTTATTCGCCCGGGTCGTATGGATGTCAGATTAAATCTTGGCTATTGCACCCATTACCAAATCAATAAAATGTATCGAAGCGTTCTCGAAGACAAAACCGCAGAATTTCCCAAAGAAACCCTTGATAAGATCCCAGAACTTATTTTACCTCCGTGTGAAGTTATGATGAAAATGGTGTTATATCGAAGCGAACCAGAATTAATTCCGGAGAAAGTTTTGGAATTGGTTGATATTTATCGAGATAAAGAATATATTCCACTCGAGGATCTTATAACTGAAACCGAAGAAACTGAGGGAAAGAAAGATGAGAATTTTGATAATGAAAAGAAAGAAAAGGACGAGAATTTTGATAATGAAAAGAAAGAAAAGAAAGAGAATTCTGATAATGAAAAGAAGGAAAATGAAATTTCTAAAGAAAACAAAGAAGCTGCCAAAAAAACTGATACAAAAACAGACATTAAAATTGACCATAAATTAAAAAAGTTTGTAATTACCACAGTTACGACAACCACCATTGACGCTAATAATTCAGATTCTATATATGAGGAAAAGGACACTGATAGTGATACAAGTACCATAATAGATTCTACAGAAACGACAAAAGAAAGTTTAGTTGATGGTAAAAAATCAAAAATACAAATATAATTGTAACAATTTGTCAAACACATACCGTAAAGTGTTCTGTATAGTATCCTGTATAAATTAATTCATCTTTTTTAGTAGAAATAATATTTTTTTACGACGCGCGTTAAGATTAATCGAAAAAAAAATAAAGATTTAACCGTGAATATTTTTATATTATCAAAAGAAATACATGTTTAGAGAAATTTAAATTATTATACTGTTCTGGATTTCTGAAGGTTATCACTTATTAAAATAAGGTATATCTATTATTAAAAAGTACATAACCTAGTTAAACTACTATCTTCTTGGCTTCACACGAGCAAATAACTCTTCGCATTTATTAATGCCAGTAAATTTAATCTTTAAATCTTGCGATAGTTCTACCTCGTATTTTGTGAAAAACAACATAAAAATTTTTATAATAGTTAATGCCATCTATCTAATCCAACGCTGAAGCAGAATAAAATAATCATCAATTCGTTTTCTACATGTATTTGGATGAGCGAACCTGAAGTGCCAATAATTGTTTTGAATGTAAATAGCGCGATAATCAAGTCTCGACCAAGCAAATTCTTTTTTGGTGCCTAATTTTGACAGTGATCGGTATCTTGAAATATTTGCCGGATTTCTGAGATATAAAAATCGATATATTTGAATGCCGACTAATATTTTGTTATTAGCCGCCATCTCTCAAAACTGCGATTGTGCAGACTCAAACCCTAATTCATTTAACCAAATATTCTGAAGTACTCCGGCTTATATTAAAACATAGTGTGGTCACATGTTTTAATATAAATTGGAGTACTCCGTTAACAACCTTAAATACAATAAACAAAATACTGAAAAACTCACTCGATGAAAAAAGTTTATATTCACAGAGCTCGACAAAGGTTTCTCTAATCATCCGCTCGAAAGAGATTAATATGTCTTTCACTGCCAATGTACAGTAACGGCCAAAAGTGTCTGACCCTGTAACTTTTTCAGATTGAAAGATTAATTGCCCTGAAATTTTCAGCATAGATAGTATAACATAAATCTAGATCTATGAATTTTTTTATAATTTTATAATTACTATAACAAAATTTAAATGAAAGCTTAATTTTAAAATTTAATATATTAAAATTCAAGCATTTTTATATTAGTAACAAAAAATTTGACATAATTTAATAAGATAGTTGTTGAGAAATTAAATTATTAAAAATACTTAAATTTAATATAGTAATTTTTAATTATTTCAAAGGTTTAAAACAAAAAACTTTTAATATAGAAAGTTACAGGGAGTTGGATACTTTTGGCCGCTACTGTATAATCTCAAACACGCACTATATTTTGGTTAAGGTGTTTGAAGTTTCGATGCGTTTGATAGAGATTTCCGAAAATCAGGATCGATAATGGACCTGGGAGAGGATTTTACTTTGCTAATAGCAAAGAAAACAAATATAAATATGTAAACATGAAGAAAAAATTATGTTTTTGATTCAAGATTATATTAATGAATAGATTCGTTGAAACAGACAAGAAGTTTGGATTAACCGTTTATATATTGGTTGTTCTTGCTTATGCTTACCGTATTCTTCCGGGAGTAAGAACATTCATGAATAAGCATCACTCCAATGTTGTTGGCATAAAAAGAATTCGTTTTATTAATTAAAAAAACATAATAAATAAGCACCACTCCTCGGAGGAAAAGATATACAAATGCTTCATGACTTTTTTGTTGATGTGATGTCATTCTGTATTTGCATTGTATTGATGACATTTCTGAAATCAAACTCAAAAGGACATTTCTTGAACTGCCTTTTGGGAACTTCCGGTCATCATTACATTCATTTATTCCATTGGAATGAGTGCTAATCGCGAATGAATGAACGAAACCCCATCCCCGAATGTATTATCACGTGATAATCCGCAAATCAATCAAAAAGATCAAATGCATATACGAGTACCACTGGTATCTTATATAAACCAGTACATGTATAAAAATTGAATAGTACCCGGGAGGGTATTTTGTTCGGATTAGGATATTGTATTACGGGAAATCTTGTTAAGGGATACAATTCACGGGTGAGATATTACTTCGAATATATAATAATAATACATACCGATACGCGTTAAAAAAGAATCCAAGACATATAAAAACCGTTATGATTGAAAGTCTTTGAGAATTATTAACATTTCTAATATCTAATAATCGTTAATAATTGAGACTATTAATTTCCTTTTTTTTATTAAAATGATAATAATCATCCTTTTTCATTCGTGCATAAGAGCAACGATAATATCCTTGTCAAAATTGCATGCCGAACATGTGAATAAGTTATTTTTAAACTTTGGACGCGTACTCCAAGTAAAAAATTGATGTTATTGAAATAATATCATAATGCTACTACGTGCAAATCATCGTGCCTATTTAACCCCAAGAAAACGACGAACTTGGAATGCTCGCGAAAAATTGGCAGTAATTATGTATTCTGAAAAAATGCGACCAAGTTTAATATTGAACCCGTTCAAGTGAGAAAATGGCGGAAAAATAAAAACGAGTTATTATGTGTTGCACCTCATATTCGTCGATTAAGAAGTAAAGGTGGCCAACAAAATATCCACAATTAGAAGAAGAAATGATTACTTGGATTAAAAGATCTTCGTCAAAATTTACGTGTCGTTACTCGATCTATGGTTCAAATAAAAGTCAAAACTCTAGCACAAAAATCTCAATATATTGCTATTTATCCCGACATTAATGAATGTAAATTTATCAATAAGTGGGTGGATGGGTTTATGCATCGATATAAGTTAAGTAACCGTCGTCGATACAGCACAAAAATTACCTGAGGATTTAGAAAATGTGCAAAAAGATTAGTTTTATTTTATACCAACGTATTCGTCCAATTGGATTAATAGGAAACATGGATGAAACTCCTATGACATTTGATTTTCCCAAATAATACTACACTCGAATCAACTGGAGTGAATACAATTTCTATCCGTACTGTGGACATGAAAAATCACACTTTACGGTTGTCTTAATCTGCATGGCAGATGGAACAAAACTCGAGTCAATGATAATCTTTAAGTTGGTAAATATTCCGGGACAAAATTTTTCCCAATGGAATTTAATATACATGTAAATCATAATGGTTGGATAAATGAAGCTGAAATGATCTGGTGGATTGAGAATATTTAGCAAAAATGTCATGTGAATCTCGATCTTTATTAATAAATCTTTAGAGAAAAAATTTCAATAAATTTGACCCCCTG